CATTTGAACTCAAATACCTGTACTTTCTACTTCTTACATTTTGAACACAAATACCTGTACTTCTACTTCTTACATGTTGAACACAAACCGTCCTTCTACTTCTATTACATGTTGAACACAAATACCTGTACTTTCTACTTCTTACATTTGAACACAAATACCTGTACTTTCTACTTCTTACATGTTGAACACAAATACCTGTACTTTCTACTTCTTACATGTTGAACACAAATACCTGTACTTTCTACTTCTTACATGTTGAACACAAATACCTGTACTTTCTACTTCTTACATTTGAACACAAATACCTGTACTTTCTACTTCTTACATTTGGAACACAAATACCTGTACTTTCTACTTCTTACATTTGAACACAAATACCTGTACTTTCTACTCTTACATTTTGAACACAAATACCTGTACTTTCTACTTCTTACATGTTGAACACAAATACCTGTACTTTCTACTTCTTACATGTTGAACACAAATACCTGTACTTTCTACTTCTTACATGTTGAACACAAATACCTGTACTTCTACTTCTTACATGTTGAACACAAATACCTGTACTTGCTACTTCTTACATTTTGAACACAAATACCTGTACTTTCTACTTCTTACATTTTGAACACAAATACCTGTACTTTCTACTTCTCACATGTTGAACACAAATACCTGTACTTTCTACTTCTTACATGTTTGAACACAAATACCTGTACTTTCTACTTCTTACATGTTGAACACAAATACCTGTACTTTCTACTTCTTACATGTTGAACACAAATACCTTTACTTTCTACTTCTTACATTTTGAACACAAATACCTGTACTTTCTACTTCGTACATTTTGAACACAAATACCTGTACTTCTACTGTCTTACATTTTGAACAACAAATACCTGTACTTTACTTTTACATGTTTGAACACAATACCCCCCTACTTACATTTAAAAAAAAAACAAATACCTGTACTTTCTACTTCTTACATTTTGAACCCAAATACCTGTACTTTCTACTTCTACATTCTTACTTTGACACCAAATACCTGTACTTTGACTTCTTACATTTTGAACACAAATACCTGTACTTTCGACTTCTTACTTTTGAACCAATACCTGTACTTTCTACTTCTTACATGTTGAACCCAAATACCTGTACTTTGACTTCTTACATTTTGAACCCAAATATCTGTACTTTCTACTTCTTACATGTTGAACTCAAATACCTGTACTTTCTACTTCTTACATGTTGAACCCAAATACCTGTACTTTCTACTTCTTACATTTTCCAAACAGGCTGGTTCCTTTAGTTTGAATGTGTGTTTGGTGGCGTGATCATTATTAGTATTAGAGTCATTGCGTGCCTATTGATTTGAACACGATCCGTGTATCCATCATTTCCTGGTCTTCCTCTAAAGAAGAGGGACCAATGAAAACGTTGTCATGTTGCCGTTGTTCAGCATGGAAACATTCATTAGCTAACAATGACATTATTGTTCTATTAATATAAAGGGAGGTCAGGTACTCTTTAAAACAGCTGCTAGTTATGGGTACTTTTTACTGAAGTACATTTCAAAGCCCTCTTTACTTTCACTTGAGTAAAGAAGTTTAGTCAGTACTTCTACTTTTACCAGAGTATTTTTAAACACGAGTATCTGTACTTCTACTTGAGTAAAGGATGTGTGTACTTTTGCCATCTCTGACAGGGACACATGTTTGTGCCGCTGTACCTGCTGAAAAAAGTGATAAAACCTATTCAGGTGGTCAAATTTAAAGTTGATATGTATGTAAATTATTAAAAAAGTCAGTAGTGCACATGATTGGACAATTAAATGGTTTCCTTCATGTTACTATGTCTTGTTATATATCAGTGTAGGTGTACTTTGGAGGAAAGAAAAGTTCATTACAAAAATATCACTTCCTACTTCCTGTAAGTATACAATAATAAGTTGAACCACACTTACCACCTTGCAGTTGTAAGCCTATGCTAACAGGTTTAATTGCAGTTTACATACATTTCTGTAAAAAATGTCATCACCCATCCTCTTATTTGATTAGCCATTTGTGTGAAATTGCCATATTTAACGCTTGAATTTGTGAGTTATGCCCGAAAACGTGTTTAGAGCGGTCACAATGACTCTGACCTTTGACAACCAAATTGGATTTAGCTCATCCTTGAGACCAAGTAGACGTTTCGGCCCAATTTGAAAACATTTCCTTGACATTTCTGAGATGTCACGTTAACGAGGATGGCATGTGTAGTACATAGAGAGAACCCGGAAAAAAAAACACCTCCGGTCCTAGCTTTTGTGGAGGCATAATAGAGAATGTAGGCTCAATAAATAACATTTTTGTATTTCCCTCCAGTAGTTCCCCATGCGTGCTGCATCACTGTAACGGGGTGCAGGTAAGGTACACCTGGAAAAGGAAGGACTTAAAGCTTTATAGCCAGCAGCAGTGACTGAACAGTAGTGATGGACCAAAGTGTAGCATTCAAAGTGTTTTTTCTATAAGCTTGCTTTTTTTGTAAATGAAACACTGATGGTGCAGCACTGTATTGTAGGGGAGAAGGGGGTAAATTGAGCCAGTGGGTAAATTGAACCACCCCCTGTAACCAGGCAACGCCTTATAGTTGTAATCACGTGATCAGAAATTATGCAAGCTCCTCCCATTTCTCATTGCCTCTGAAAGAGAGATGCTCATTGTGGTCTAGTACAGTAAGTAAACATTTTTACAAAAAAACGTTTTTTGCTTGTCAAAGTACATTTTATAAAAAAATAAAAAAATGTATCCAGGTTTAAACACATATATTGTATATGTTGATGTGTTGGCAGCGTATTAAACCATGTGAGTCATTAAGCTAAAGATGTCTCTGAATTTTAATGCTCCGGCATTTCGAGAAAAACAGTGTTTGTTTTTTGCCGTGTTCGGTTCAGTCTCGGATCCTTCGCGAGACTTATGTCGGGGTCACCAATGTAGTGCCGAGAGATAGGGAGTCGGAGGCGGTGCAATGAAGGTACGAAGTTAGCTTTAATGAGCAGCAGAAACGCACATGTTGTCGGGTCGCAGCCCGGGAAGACAAGAGAAAGCGAAAGGGAGGGAATGCAGTAAGTACCAACAACATGTATGTCCGTGTGGAAACAGTACCCCCAACCTGTAGTTCCACGATTGGATTATGTAACCCCGGTGTATGAATCAGTGATCACTACACTAGGCTATTTTTTCTAAAATGGTGGCTATGGGGTAAAGTGAACCGTGGGCCAAGTTGAGACAGTTTTTCAATGGAGAAATGAATGAAAGTAGGCCAAGTTGATAATAAGAGCTCATTGTAGGCTACATTTAAAGTTGAATTTACCCTGTGTTTGATTGGTAAGATGTATGAAATTGTATCACCATTTGAATGATTACTTTTCCTTTTAACACGTTACTTCTCCGCTGTTTTCTTGTCCCAGTTCAGTTTCAGCCAAACTGTATACAGTTCAATCGACCGGACTTCTTTGTGCAGATGTGAGCGTCCTTAATAACGGTCAATAAATCCTTGACAGCGGTCTGTCTGTTCTGGATTAACAACGTGTCACGTGTTCTGAATTGACCAATCAGAATCGAGTATTCAACTAAGCCATGTAATAACATGATATAAAAGCACCATCTTTAAAACTAGGAGACAGTGCTTTTAATCATCAAGTCATTCACTTAATTAACAAATTATTATTTTAGTATAAGGCATTAGTGTTTCTCTGAGTCCATTCCTGTTTAGATTGAAATATGTGAATACATCTTTATCATAACTGGCAACTTATGGACTGAATGAATTTAGTAAATGTTTTTTAAGATGGGTATTAAAATGAAACAAGAGTCAAAGTTAATGCAAAAATACATTTAATAGAAACACACAGACAACAATAACTATCTAAGTCTTAAATATCAACGAGCATCTTGAAATAAGGGTGTTATATAGAAAGATGAATGTAAAGTAGGTAATGGTACAGAAATATGACTGATAGTATGATGATATAAACAGGCAGAAAGATATCTGAATGTGTCCCCCTCTCTGTTCGCAGTGAAGAGCTGACAGTGAACTCCTAAACTGTCCAGACTCGCTCTCCAAGGTCACGTTATGGAGGATAAAAATAGTCTGAGCGCGGCCACGACCCGAGACCGGCACTTTGTCGGCTCTTATCTCCGGACAGATGCTCTTAAAGATGAGGGAGCGAAAACCAGAGTCCTGCTACACCTCCACACACACACACACACACACACACACACACACACACACACACACACACACACACACACACACACACACACACACACACACACACACACACACACACACACACACACACACACACACACACACACACACACACACACACACACACACACACCACACACACACACACACACACACACACAGCACACACACACACACACACACACACACAACACACACACCACACACACACACACACACACACACACACACACACACACACACACACACACACACACACACACACACACACACACACACACACACACCCTTTAAGAGCTCCATTCCCAGAGGATCTCTAACCGTGTGATCAAAGACAAGGATCTCCTCCCCATCTCCCCACTGAAACCGTATTTCATATACTGTGTGTGTGTGTGTTGTGTGTGTGTGTGATGACAAAAATGATGAAACGGATCAAAAGTAACGCAAATATCTGCAATATAGGATAACTACAGATGTAGCACTCCAGATAGGACTCCAAACAGAAATTAACACGTGAGAGCACTTTCATGTCTAGAATGCATTAAAAACATACTTATAATGCTTTAACATCTGCCTATAGCCCTTTATCGTTATGTTTCTAAGCGTTTTAAAACAATTTGAAAGCACCTAACTGTGTTGATGTGTGCAGCATTGTTCCAAACTAACTTCCTTATATGTGAAACATTTATGAGTATATAGTGGTGCAGGAATGAGTCCTAAAACACGGAAATGAGTCAGCTACGTGTTTTTTGGTTGTTAGCATGAAATAAGGTCTGTGGTAAACACAAGCTGAAGAGATTTGAACGTGTAAAATAACGTGGAGATTCTCATTAAACCAGGGAGTTGTTGCCTTCAGGGCCCACTACAAAACACGTCATCACTGTAAACCAATTACTGATCCTATTAAGCAGATTATAAGTGATAAATAATGACTATTTGCCGTCCCAATGGGTCCAATATTTATTTACTTCGAGAACCACCTGAAAATGTAAAATACAGAAGATATATGCTGATGGCTAAGAAAGGGACAATTATAAATAGTAGGAACGCAATTTGCTGAAACATATTCAATGGATAAAAGGAAAAGTCTACACAACGAGCCGGCAGACCTGCAACTGAAGATGTACAATGTATATTCACGCGACTGTCTGAATACTTAAATATGGATGGTTTTACTAGCTAAATAAAACAAATACGAAATAAACAAAAGCCCTGATGGGCAGTGTTTGTTATGTTGTGAATCGTATGTTACTTACATCTAGAAGTAAAACTATTTTTTGGTGCTCCGAGGTGGAGCAACAAGTGGTCACAATCTTTATTGGATCTGGAGTTTCTGAGGGGATAAAGATTCTGGTTACACTGCAGGATGAGCTGGAGTTTGTGATGGTAATGATGAAACCCTAAAATGTTAGAACTGAAAATGTACAAATGCAGCTTGGAAGGGAAAAAGAGTCTTAATTGTAGGTCAAAAGGTTCCTTTGTTCTTGCTTGAGCCGTAGTTTCCTCCCCAGACAAAGCAAACTGGATTTAGATTAGAAATGATTCTAATCTAAATCTAAATCTAAAAGGGATGACTTTTATTCATGTATTTTCCTTTTAATGTTTATTTTATTATCTTTGCTTTTTAATGACTGTTTTTAAATGCCATTTTCTTAATGTCTTGCCTTGTTGCAGTTCTTGAAATAGACAAAGTATCAAGTGAAACTCAACTGGCTTTGTGTTCAGACAAGATGCTTTACAGTCCGTATAACAACTGTAGGAAGACGTAGAGTAGTGTGTAGTGTAGTCAATGGTTTCTGAACGTGTTTTTGGTTTAGGGTTAGTTACTGATCCTATTAAGCAGATTATAAGGCTGTATAAGTCATCTTTTAATGCATTAAAGACATAAGCGTCATAGAAAGTGCTACCAAAGATATGACTGTTGCAGTTTTTGAAGTGTGTGTGTGTGTGTGTGTGTGTGTGTGTGTGTGTGTGTGTGTGTGTGTGTGTGTGTGTGTGTGTGTGTAAAAGCATCACCTCCCCATCTCCCCATTGAAACCGTATTCTATATACTGTTGTGTGTATGTATGTATGTATGTATGTATGTATGTATGTATGTATGTATGTATGTATGTATGTATGTATGTATGTATGTATGTATGTATGTGTGTGTGTGTGTGTGACCCCTGACGCCCCCTCACAGCACCAGCCGGTCCTCGCCCCCCTCCTGGATGACCCTCCCGATGGAGGTCTGGCTCTGGCTCTGGATGAAGCTCTGCCTCTTGGCTTCCATCAGCGTGTGCAGGTCGCTCCACAGCTTCATCTGCTCCATGTTGGCAGAGTGGCTCTCCCTCACCAGCTTCTGCTTCTCACGCAGCTTCTGGAACCACCAGGAGCAGAGGGGTTAGGGTTAAAGGGATACACATTAAGAGAAGCACAGAGACTACCAGAAGAGGGGTTAGGGTTAAAGGGATACACATTAAGAGAAGCACAGAGACTACCAGAAGAGGGGTTAGGGTTAAAGGGATACACATTAAGAGAAACACAGAGACTACCAGAAGAGGGGTTTAGGGTTAAAGGGATACCCAGTTAAGAGAAACACAGAGACTACCAGAAGAGGGGTTAGGGTTAAGGTGATACACATTAAGAGAAACACAGAGACTACCAGAAGAGGTTAGGGTTAAGGATACACATTTAAGAGAACACAGAGACTACCAGAAGGGTTAGGGTTAAAGGGATACACATTAAGAGAAGCACAGAGACTACCAGAAGAGGGGGGTTAGGGTTAAAGGGATACACATTAGAGAAGAACACAGAGACTACCAGAAGAGGGGTTAGGGTTAAAGGGATACACATTAAGAGAAACACAGAGACTACCAGAAGAGGGGTTAGGGTTAAAGGGATACACATTAAGAGAAACACAGAGACTACCAGAAGAGGGGTTAGGGTTAAAGGGATACACATTAAGAGAAGCACAGAGACTAACCAGAATAGGGGTTAGGGTTAAAGGGATACACATAAGAGAAACACAGAGACTACAAGAAAGAGGGGTTAGGGTTAAAGGGATACACATTAAGAGAAGCACAGAGACTACCAGAAGAGGGGTTAGGGTTAAAGGGATACACATTAAGAGAAACACAGACTACCAGAAGAGGGGTTAGGGTTAAAGGGATACACATTACAGTTTATATGCAGGAATCCTGAATTCAAATGTAATACGGAGGCGTGTAGCGCAGTGGATAGAGCCTTGGTGTTGAGACAGGTTCAAACCCCACTGCAGTCAGCATGTCGTTGTGTCCCTGAGACACTTCACCCCAAATTGCTCCTGTGGGGATTGTCCACTGTATTGAGTATGTAAGTCGCTTTGGATAAAATATATATGTAATGTAATGTAATACATTTTAAGACCTCATCGCCACTTCGAGTTTTAACCGGTTACATTGGCGACACAATTTACCTCACATTTACTATACACAGTATTGATTGTCCTTCCTCCTTATCTTCCAACCATTTGGACGCAAACTTGAAAATAAAACCCTCTCTCTTTTCCTCCGTACCCAAATCTCTAAAAACGGGGGAACAACGGAGCTGATCCAGATTTGCGTCCGATATGACGTAATATCTGAAATGTGGACCCACGGCCCCTATCAGAAACGTTGCTATCAGAAACAATGCCCGACTGTTTTGGACGTAATATGGTCTGTGTTTACATTAGCATCGCTAACTCTCAGAGCTAACCTGTACTGGAGAGAGCATGTGTGTGAAGAAGCAGGAAATAAAAAGGAACTCACCTTGTGGTATAACCGGCAAGAGAGAAAGCCTTTGAGCTCCATACTGTTTCAGAGATAATCCTTGATAATCCATGATATGGCGTTTCATCACGGCAGTATTTAGTTTAGACAGTAGCTGCCGGGTCCCGCATGAGCTCAGACCCCTCCTTTTTTATTTGTTAAAGCTTTATACCCCAAATCAGCACTTTAGAAACAGGAAGTGAAATAGAGGGATATGAGGCATGGCTAGAATGGGTGATCTGTTTGGTATTTTGAGCAAAACACTTCAGACATCTTTTTTATATATTTGTATATATCTGAGACCTATGCTATTGCCTAGAAATAGCATGATAGGTGACCTTTAAAATGTTGTTGTACTGTTCACCTTTTTATAATATCTTGATTTTCTGCACTGTCCATTTGCTGCTTTAACTCGGCTTATTTCCCCATTTTGGGACCACTAAACATTGTTTTTGAAATCCTAAATTACCTTTACCTAATGCAGTATAAAGTTGATGTACAGACTAATGCCTTAATAATTACATTTCAATAATATAACATAAGGTAATCTGAAATGGCTGATTGCGTAATGAGTACTGTGTTGCACTAAAAGCATGATTTCTTGTAACTGTCTGTTTGATGTCTTTATTCTTGTGCTTCTATCCCTCAGACCATCTTGTCCACACATTTAAAGCCCCTGATTGGTCAGTATTTATGAACCCTGTTCTCACCTTGCCCAGTAGCTCCTGTTCAGAGATGTTCTTCATGTACACCTCCCTGCAGAGGAGGCACAAACAAATCATTCAAATGCAACATATTCTAATTCCACCTGTTGATCTCAGCAGCTGAGTTTGAATAAAGGTGTGTGTATCAGGGAGTGTGTGTGAGTGAGTGTAATGAGAGCTTCCTGAGGTAGAGAGAGTCATGTTGCGAGCAGCTGGAGGGCAGCAGCACACTCACCTGATGGCTTTCTTCTTCTCTTGTGGGTCGGACGACACGTAGGCCTTCATCTCCTCGGCCGCCCGCTGACTAATTGCTTCTCAATAACCTGCGGGAGGACGGGAGAGAGATGAGAGGTCAGAGAGCGTCAGAGAGCGTAGAAGGAGGACACACGGACTGAGACAGAGACAGAGAGAGTAGAGCTAGAGAGAGAAGGAGTAGAGAGAGAAGACGAGAGAGAGAGAGAGAGGATCGAGAGTGATGATGATTGAGAGCATGCAGAAGAGGAGAGGAGAGGCGTCGAGAGACGAGAGGACTCGAGAGACGAGAGAGAGAGATGAGAGAGAAGAGAGAGAATCACTTGTGGGGGAATTTGAGGCAGGTGACCGTCTGTTATTCCACCTCCTGCACTGTCAGAGCTTTGAGTGTTAATTCCCTATGTTAAAGGGGACCTATCATACAAAATGCACTTTTTGATGTCTTTTATACATAAATATGTGTCCCCGGTGTGTCGGGGAACTCACTCAGCGTCAGAAAATAAAACCCTCTCTCTTTTCCTCCGTACCCAAATCTCTAAAAACGGGGGAACAACGGAGCTGATCCAGATTTGCGTCCGATATGACGTAATATCTGAAATGTGGACCCACGGCCCTATCAGAAACGTTGCTATCAGAAACAATGCCCGACTGTTTTGGACGTAATATGAGAGAAAGCCTTTGAGCTCCATACTGTTTCAGAGATAATCCTTGATAATCCATGATATGGCGTTTCATCACGGCAGCATTTAGTTTAGACAGTAGCTGCCGCGTCCCGCATGAGCTCAGACCCCTCCTTTTTAATTTTTTAAAGCTTTATACCACCCAATCAGCACTTTAGAAACAGGAAGTGAAATAGAGGGATATGAGGCATGGCTAGAATGGGTGATCTGTTTGGTATTTTGAGCAAAACACTTTATAGACATGTTTTTTATATATTTGTATATATCTGAGACCTATGCTATTGCCTAGAAATAGCATGATAGGTGACCTTTAATCTCTGTACCCTAAACTCTTCCTCATAATCTGTATTGGGAACATTAACAAATTCTTCTTAATATTTTCTGCACACTTTGAAAAGCTGCACGGCTCTTTCACTTTCAAATCAGATATAATGGACATATTTATTTTACAGTAAGTTGTATTTTATTGCATGTTTTTTGATATTCATGTCACTTTATTGCCTGGTCATCTATTTGTGTATCCAAACAGATGTAATAAGAATGAAATTGTAATAAAATGAACTCACCTCTGACATGGAGTTGATGTAATGATATCTGTTTTCCTCCTGCGACGTGTCGTCTCTCAGTGCTTTCACCTCCTGGGGAAAACCCAAAACATTACAAAATATACAAAAAAACTAGATAAACTTATATAAATAGATTTAAATTGTTGGCTATATTTTATCTCGTGAACTGTACCTGGTCCAATTTCGATCTGTTGCTCTCCAGACCAGCCGTACAGCTTTCATATTGAGCCTTCTTCTCCTCATACTCCTGGCTTGATTCCTGTACAGATATGAATAAAAAAGGCATTTCAACAACCTTCTGATTTATTTTTTAAATGTATAAATATATAAATAAATCCGGGTCATTTTCTCTCACATTTATTTCAATTTTTTTGCTATTTTATTTAGTTATAATGTTCCTTATACAGTTCTTTCTTTTGATACTTGTTTTTAAATGTTTGGATAAATATGTATAGGCAGGTGTGTTTGTTATAATAATAATAATAATAATAATTCCTTACATTTATTATAGCGCTTTTCCAGATGCTCAAAGCGCTTTACAAAATACACATTACACACATATCATTATGTAACGGTCATGTACTGTGGACAATACCCACAGGAGCAAATTCAGGTGAAGTGTCTTGCCCAAGGACACAACGGCTTTACAGACGCAGCGGCGGCGGGTTTCGAACTGGTGTTCCCCAACGCCCCCTTGATCTGATGATCAACGCACACCCCACTGCGCCACTCTGCCCATCTTCACACCTCGAAGTCATCAAGGCGCTTTACAAGTACACATTACACACATATCATACATGTAACGGTCATGTACTGTGGTCTTGCCCAAGGACACAATGGCCTGACGCAGTGGCGGCGGGGGCGGGTTATGTGTAAATAGTTGTAGTATATACATATTAATACAAGGTCTAAATATGGAAATAATTGATTGATATAGAAGGTTATGTGTATATGTGGTCGCAAGGAATAATATCTTAAAATCAGACGTTAATTAAAATATTTTCTCATAAGTAATGTTTGCTATCCAAACAGTCACACAGAGGAGCTGAGAGACACATGCGTACAGTATGAGATTTGAGACAGATACATAGAGAGCAGATCTTCGTCCTCTCAGCTGCTTCTCGTCCACAAAGCTCCCAGCTGCCCTCGGAGCAGTTTAACTCTCAAAGTCTATTTACGTCTTCCTGTCGCAGCTCTTCACTTTGCCGGGAGATGGAAGAGCGATTCCTGGAATACGTGTCGGAAAATCTAATCCTGCGTTTTAGCCCTGCGATGTGGGGGGGCTTTCCCATTGTGCATTTTATTTATGGACTATGTAAATTATTCCCTAATGGAGCCTGTCCACGGACACACACACACACACCACACACACACCACACCCACACACACACACAACACACACACCCACACACACAACACACACACCACACCCACACACACACACACACACACACACACACACACCCACACACACACACACCACCCACACACACACACACACACACACACACACACACACACACACCACACACACACACACACACCACACACCCACACACACCCCACACACACACACACACACACACACACCACACACCACACACACCACACACACACACCCACACACACACACCACACACACACACACACACACACACAGCCCTTACTTTTGTTTTTTACAGCAGTTCCCGTGTTTGAATGCCAGAAGAAGAAGTGCTCGTGTGATAGAGAGCAGTAAAAAGCCCAGGATGTTTCTCTCACAGCACATTAGGACCTAAACAAACAGCATGCATGGTGTTCAACATAAAGGCCTCAGCTGTAAATGGTGTTCAGGTGGAAAATGTTCTTTCCAAACACTCACCTGACAGCACTGCCTCAGGGACCGCAGCTCTGTTATAATGGGAGCCAGAGCCGACTTCTTATCCACTATCATGGAGTTTAATTTCTTCACCTGTAAGAAGCAAGGACTTAGTTCATTGCAAAGGACATTGACAGTATTTAAATGCACAGTGTGTACTTTTCTACAGCTTTCAATCAATAACAATGAAAAAGACAGAGCTTGTGTGGCGTTGGTGAGTGTGTGTTACCACCATTGTCGTCCACTAGCATTTAGCTTCTCCCAGATGACTAACTGCTGCTTTTGGTTCATTTTATTTTAAGTAGGAAACTCAGGATTTCTTCATTGTTCGGTGTACAGTAGGAGGTTTTAACTTGTAGCTGAATTATCCTCAGAGGGCTCTTCCTCTCCGGAAACAAAACAGACCCAGTGACAAAATATAGAATAATAGCCAGTTTCAAGTATAAAATCAGCATCTCTCTGATGAGGTCCGGCTGCGTTAGCTTGCTATGCTCTTCTTGTTTCTCTGATAACTTGAGATCCAGGCGTCCCAGGAATAAAATACATCGTCCAGTTGAAATACAGAGTTAAAAAGCCACCAACATTAAAAAGTGTATGGTGAAAATGTGGCTTAAAACTAGATAAAAGTCAGTTGATGACAGCGCTGATGGATGCTCAAACAGGACACCAGAGGATTACAATTATATATTTTCTCTGAAACAACCAAACCACATTAAATATAACAATTAGTCTAGTCCTTTAAATACACGTATTACACCTTTACAAGTCTGTAGAGGAAAGCAGCAGGTGCTAACTGTGACTAAGTGTATATGAGATGATGAAGTTAAGCAGCATTATCCTCCTGACAGCTCTGATCACATCCTCATCATCAGAGAGTAAAGTGTTACCATCTCTGACATGTCGTCCAGCGTTCGTCCCTTCTTCTCGTCCAGCTCGCTCTTGATGGCCGACACTCGCTCCAGCTCCTCCTGAGTGTCGCTGTAGCCCGAGATGCCCTTCTCCGCCTCCATAGTTTGCTTTAAAGACAACAGAAAACACATGAGGGAATATACACAATACGCTAAGCCTAAGATACTTCACAACTTGAAGGCATTCCTTTTTCTATGAGATACCAGAATAAAAAACCTTGTTGAAAACTCGTTGAAAACTGATGCAAAGCTAGGGCTGGAACTAACGATTATTCCTATTATTGATTCATCTGTAGACTGATTGTTGGGTCTATAAAATGTCAGAATTTTTTTTTTTTAATTTTAAAAAAGCCATCCTTTTTACTCAAAGTCCAAGGAGATGACTTTGAATGTCTTGTTTTGTGAGTCAAACCCCAAATATATTCACTTTAATCTGACATAAATTTAAATAAGTAGGATATTTCCAATTTTATACACTAAAAACTGTATTTTCTACATTTTTTGCATTCAAAATAATAATGGATTATCAAAATATTAGGCAATTATTAAGCTTTCTATCAGTTTATCTTTGCAGCTCCATTCAAAACACACATCGTTTTTTTTTTTCGATTTTTGGGTTTTTGTTCAACGCACATTTCAGTTTTTGTTCAATCAATCAATCAATGTTTATTTATATAGCCCAATATCACAAATGTTACATTTGTCTCAGTGGACTTCACAGTTTGTACAGAATATCAGTATGACAATACGACACCCTCTGTCCTTAGACCCTCACATCATACAAGGGAACACTTCCAGAGAAACCCCACAGTTTAAAGGGGAACATGGGAGAAACCTCAGGGAGAGCAACAGAGGAGGGATCCCTCTCCCAGGACGGACAGACGTGCAATAGATGCCGTGTGTAAATCGAAGAGACAATACATTTTACAGCGTAGGTAGACCAAATGTTTGGAAATGCATGTGTCTATAATAAGAAGATGAATCCACGAGGATGTCAACAATCCTGTGGGAGCCATCAGGGAAGTAGTATGATGAGAGTC